TAGCTGACATTCCTTTTTATTTCTATTCAGCCATAACCAATACGGAGCTTGCTTTGCTCTACTAATAACTTTTTTCAGGCATGCTGTACGCTTTCTGCCTGACAGTTTTTAAAAAGTGTATTCATTGACGCTCCCACTTTTCTTCTTGCGCCATTCCTACTATGCTTTTTAAAACTTTGTTGGGACGCCATGTATACCGACCGTGAACTAGAGCATACTGACATGACGACAGCACGTGCGCGAGTGTATTTTGATCTCCACAGAGTATACATTTGTTCTGTGCTGTCTAATTTCATCGAACCAAACTTGCTTTTGTTGGCAGCTGGTCGTACATTCCTTTTATTAGAAAAGCCAAACGGAGAGGAACCATATTCTAAATTTCTTTCCAACTAACGTTTTTCTGCAACACTTTTTCCCACGACTACCATCTGCCCGGTTGACTCTGCTGCACTGTTGCAACCATTCTTTCTCTGTCGTACTCATTACGTCTTTCTTCAATAATCATCGGACCTTTTATTTTGTTGTTGACCTTGGACCACCACTTATTTTGAAACCAGCCAACGCCGTGTTTTGTGTTTTGCACTGCTCAAACAATCCCCTTAAATTTTAAAGATTGTTTTGCCGAGTCTATTTTATTTCTGGCTTACCATTTTTTCCCCGTTTTCAACAGAGGCTTAACCTGGGTTATACATTGGTCTGTCGAGTTGTCAAGCATCCTTTTATTGAAAATTTATTTTAGCGCATTTGAATTCATCAACTACCGACTTGAAAGGTAGTTTTAAATCTGTCCTTCGACTATAATAAGCAAGTGAAGTCAAACCAGCAGTCAGACCAAGCCATATTCTTGTATAACGGTTGACTTATTTAATTTTTCCACTGTGTTTAGTGTGTATATGTATTTATGTATGTGTGTATATATATATATATATATGTATGTATGTATATATGTATGTATGTATGTTAAAACCAAATCAGCGATGAGTGACACTAAACAGTCAAACATCTGAAAAAATCGGTTAAATATGTATGTTATGTATGTATGTATGTATATATGTATGTATGTATGTATGTATGTATGTATGTATGTATGTATGTATGTATGTATGTGTGTGTGTGTGTGTGTGTATGTGTGTGTGTCCGACCAATTTCACTTGTACCAGCATTCTCAAAAGTAATTGAAAAAATTATGCAAAGGAGAATAATTTCGTTTTTACAAAAAAATATTATCATTTCAAATTACCAGTTTGGGTTTCGAGAGAAACATTCAACAGAACTGGCCATCATCGAACTGATAAGAAAACTTGGTAATCTAGCGGAAAAAAAAATTTCATTGTAGGAACATGCCTCGATCTGTCGAAGGCATTTGACTGTATCGATCACGACATCCTGCTAAGCAAGCTTGAGCACTACGGTATAAGAGGTACAACATTGAAATGGTTCAGGAGTTATCTGTCTGGAAGAAATCAGTTTGTTTGTTTGTTGGGGAAATGAAAAATTCAACATTACGACACAATGGTTTCGGGGTTCCTCAAGGAAGCATCTTAGGACCACTGCTATTCATCATCTTCATCAACGATCTACCAGATGCAACCGACTACTTCGATTACGTTTGCTTTGCTGACGACACCAACATTTTTGGTAGCGGGAAAGATATTGATGATGTTATCGATCAAACCAACGCTAAAATAAAACACGTTGTCAAATGGTTCAACTCCAATAAACTGACTATAAACATTTCAAAAACGCAGTTGATAAGTCTTTGGACCAGACCAATATTTAAATTACAAAGAACCGTATAAAATTACAATCAACAACCAAGAAATAATCGAGAGTAAAACAATAAAATTTTTAGGCGTTTTATTAGATCAGAAACTAACTTTCAAACCCCATGTCATCTACGTTTCGAACAAGTTAGCGAAATCTATCAGAATAATGATTGTTGTTGTTGTTGAGATGCGTTTTTAACGGCGTTTCAGCACATTCTGGCTATCTTCACGCCTGTATCTTTTTTTATTTAATTTCTTAATTCTTTCCCTCATTCATTCTTTCGGTTTAATAGTGTTAAATTTAAATTTTGTTGATTTGTTCAATTTTTGTAATATATCCTATTAAATTATTTATATTCTCCCGATTAAAAAAATTTCCTGCATATTTGCTGGGATGTTGAATTTTGATCTGGGTTGGTTGTATTTTTTGCACTCTATTATTATATGGAAAATTGTGAGCTGTGTTCCACATATTTTGCACCTTGGAGGAGTTTTTTTTCAAGGATCCATGTATGTGTTAATCTAGTGTGGCCAATCTTGATTCTATTTATCGCTGTCTGGAATCGCCTTTCAACAGTTATTGTCTTTAATCCCTTAGGTTCAATTTTTGGCGTTGATTTCCTTAGAAAACTTTTGTTTTTGTTCCATTCTTGTTACCACATCGATGCCATGTATTAGTTGATTATCACCTTGATATCAGAGTATGATATTGGTATGTTTGAGATAGGGAGGCGATGAGCCAGATTTGCAGCTTTATCGACCTTTTCATTCCCTTCTATTCCTATGTGGTTCGGTATCCACACAAATTTTATCTTGTTGTTATTTATTGTCATATGTGTATTTATAGAGTTTTGAATTTGTGTTATTATTGGATTGTTGGCTTTATGATTTTCTATTGCCATCAAACTGGATAGTGAGTCAGCAAAAATCATGTATTCTTTGTTGGTCTCATTTATGGTATGATTGAGGGCCATTTTTATTGCTGTTAACTCTGCTGAGAATATTGATGCATAGATTGGTAGATGTGGAATAATGTTTCCTTTGTG